CCCCTCGCCCGTGGATCCAGCACACTCTTAAGTTTCCTTGGAACGTGCAGATGGAATGCGGTTGTGTGCGGGCCACTGCGTGTCGCAGGTGGGGAAAAGGGGCATCGCCGACGCAGTGGCGTCCGGACGCGGGCCGCGCGCCCACCGCGCGCGCTTCGACGCGAAGGTTGCGCTTATGGCGGACATCCGCGTGTCGGGGGCGGCACAGCTGCCGCGGAGTGACAAACATCGCGAGCGGATGTGGCAGCACACTGGCCCCGAAACGAACTCGCGCACGATAAAAGTGTCCCCGCGCGCCCCTATGCGCAGGAAGGCAGACCGGCGAGTCGCGTGCCACCCCGCTTTCCGGCCCGTCGAGGCAAAATTCCGCGAGGGGCGCTGGGAAAATAATAGAACTATTACTACTTTTGTGGCTCTGCAGGTAACATACACAAAACCAAACATTTATTTTTGCTTGACCCTCTGTGGTTTAAACGAGTTTCAACAAGAACTTTTTATCTTCTTGAAGCACATCTTCGCAAGTAGGTCTTCGGGTGAATACATTGACGTATATTGCTGCAAGACCGTAGCTCAAGCTTCGTTGACTGGGTCGTATAGCTTTGATTCCAGACGTTCGCCAATTGTGGACACCAGCTAAGTTTCAGCGCCGGACAATACCAGTCAAGAATTACACATACCTTCTGCTCTGATCCGTCATTTCATGCTCACCAATCAGTTGCCGGCGGATGCATGAGTAGTTGGTTACACATGTGGCGCGGTTCATCCTTTACCATCGCCTCTACAAAGGGTTGACGGTGGGCTCTTGTTTCATTCCAGTATGACTCCCCCCGTAAAGGGCTACAATATTGTTGTGAATACTCGGATGGTAGACTAGAGGTCAAAACTGGCTGGGGTGAGGAAGGGAAGAGAATGCTTCTTCATATTTCTCCCGTGCTTTGTGTTGATCGCGATGACTAAGATTGTGCGTTTGTGTTGCAGCTGGGCGGTACCCGCACCACGAGGCGTACAGCGACGCATACAGCTCGCCGTACGACACTTCGCCCTTCCAGACGGTGCCGACGAGCGTGGGCGGCGGCGGGGGCGACCCGTGGGGCGCGGGCCCCGACCTGGGTCCGCCCCCGCACGCGCACCCGCACCCGGCCTTCCTGCACGCGGGCGCGCCCGGCCGCGGCGACGCGCTGCCGCACGCCGTCACGCCCAACGGCGACACCAAGCCCGTGCTGCAGTCGCCCATGCTGCCCGGCTACTCAGGTGAGGCCCCGCCCCTCATCTCCGCTCTTCTCTTCTCTTCTCTTCTCTTCTCTTCTCTTCTCTTCTCTTCTCTTCTCTTCTCTTCTCTTCTCTTCTCTTCTCTTCTCTTCTCTTCTCTCTTCTCTTCTCTTCTCTTCTTTTCTTTTCTCTCTTCTTTTCTCTTCTCTCTTCTCTTCTCTTCTCTTCTTTTCTCTCCTCTCTTCTCTTCTCTTCTCTCTTCTCTTCTTTTCTCTCTTCTCTTGTCTTCTCTTCTCTCTTCTCTTCTCTTCTCTTCTTTTCTCTCATCTCTTCTCTTTTCTTCTTTTCTCTCTTCTCTTCTCTTTTCTTCTTTTCTCTCTTCTCTTCTCTTCTTTCCTTTTCTCTCCTCTCTCCTCTCATCCACAATCCTCCCCACCAGCTTAGGTGGCTCAGGGCGTCAGTTGATGACACTGCAGTATCTGGGACCGAGAGGCCCCAGAATTCGAGTCCCGACAATGGTAGGATTTTGGACACTAGCTACATAGCCATGTCAAATTCACCCGCTGGGGAGGAGGGGAATTCTAGTGCTCGGCTGCACTGATCGATAATTTACCGTGGTTTCTCTGGTCAACACCAACGAGTGCCCTAGCAGTACCCTTGCAAACGGACAGCTCATGATTTTTCCTCACTCTTCTTTTTCTTATCCTCATCCCTTATTTACATACCATAACACTTACATGCACTATACTACCACGCAAGTTGAGAGATCAAACAGGAGCTTACACTGCGATTTATCCAACTCTGTCAACAGCTGATACCTGCCAGGGGCAGAGTTGGATAAATCGCAGAATAGTGCTTGTCCCAGCTGATACGGTACCTCGCTGGTGGGAGATACCTGGGAAGGGAAACAGCAGTTGACGGATAGGTCTGCGCCGAATCTCGCCATCTTGCAAGGAAAAGTTACCGCCAACACCCGCGAGAAAAACCTGCACTACACATACACGTATGGGACTAATGATGTAGTCAGTTGACGCTCACATAATTACTAACCAATCAATCTTCCTCCTTCCTGTTCTTTATGTTTCTTGGCCTAGTTGATGACTTGATCTTAGCCTTAGAAGGAGCATGTTTCTATATTGTAAATTATTGATTCCAGGGGGTCCCTGCTTTACGGGCTCAGGTCCGATTCAGCTGTGGCAGTTTTTACTTGAACTGCTCACTGACAAGTCCTGTCAGGGTTTTATCTCATGGACAGGAGATGGATGGGAATTTAAGCTGACTGATCCAGATGAAGTGGCTCGCCGCTGGGGGATCCGGAAGAACAAACCCAAGATGAATTACGAGAAGTTGAGCCGTGGGCTTCGCTACTACTATGACAAGAATATTATTCACAAGACCGCTGGCAAACGTTACGTGTATCGCTTTGTGTGTGATCTTCAGAGCTTGCTGGGGTGAGTGTCACTCCATAAAAACATGTGTATTATTAAAAACTCTAGTTCTTTCCCATTTCATTTGACCCAACATCATATAAATCCCCCTGACACTTTGTCTGATATTCCAAGTGGAGGAGTTCAACTTAAAATTATGAGGACCCTGAAATTCGAAACAAATATAATATGTAAATGTATACTATTGTATACATTTATTTGCAGTTTAATTAATTTTATTGTATTACTATTTGATATACTAAAGAAAAAACAAACGTTTCTTTTGGATTCTTCCTATTAAATATAAAATATTTAAGTTCTTCTGATTTCTCAATTGCCAAAAGCAGCAATTACAAATTCTGAAGTACTTGTTGAGATGTGTTCAGAATTGTTAACTTGTGCATTGGTCTCCTGTTGTTTGTAAGGATTCTACTGCTTTGGAAACCTCTGACAAGTGATTTAATCTATTTCATTCTGAAAAAATGTATTTAGTCAAGAAGTCTCTCTTTATATTTAAATGCATGTTTTAATTCTTTGTTGTGAAATATTCAATACAGTAATGAATTATTACAAAGAAAGTATAAACGTTTTTAATGTTGTTCAATTTTTAATATTATTTATTTACATTAAAGAAAATAATGGGAAGGTTTATGTTGATTAATCTTACTTATATATTTATGATTCTCAGCAGTAACTGTCAATTTCAATCAGATAAAATTAAATTGAAAATAAAGACATTTGTAACAATGAATAATGTTTCTCTTTTGCATGTTTTCTTTATCTAAACCAACATAGTAGAAATAATGGTTTGGGTTAATATTAGCCATATCATGCACAAACTCTGTGCAAAGTTATCTCCTGAGTGTTTCCAAAATGTAGTAAAAGAGAGGAAAGACTTTTGAAAAGCTTAAAATATCAAGAAATGCATACCAAAGAGTAAATTTCTGAAATATATAAAAAATTTAATTCAGTTAAAATAAATATAATATTAGTAAAACAACCACACTGTTTTTATTTATTTATTTACATCATAAACAGTTAAAAACTTAAATTATAATTTTCTTCTTAAAATTAATTAACAGTCATTATGGATGTGATAAACTATCTCTTTCAACATTTCGATGCAAATTAGCATTGCATCATATTCTCAAGAGATGTACAGGAAAAAAAAGTTATAAATGAAAATTAGCTTTCAAAAATAATAAAAATCGTATTAAAAATGTTGAATTCTGTCCATATTTAAAATTTGTAGCTATGAAGAAATCAAAGAGAGTGATCCAAAACTAAATATATGATACTTAAATGCCTTATTAATATTAATATTAATACCCAAATCACAATGGTAATATACTTCAAGTGTAGTTTTTTACTGAAGTTACATTATGCCAGTTTTGGCTTATATTTAACAACAATAGAAGTAAATTTGTTTGTATAAAGTTAATATTTTCTATTCTTGTAACACAATGTGTTACTCATTCTCACAGGAACTGTGTTTATATGAGAAATTTTTGAAACTTTGCAAGTTAAAAAAAAATCTAATTTTGAAGGGTTGATTAATATGTTAAAGAGTTGCAGTGTGAACATAACGCTTTTGTTCTGCAGGTATTCCCCCGAAGAGCTGTATGCCATGGTCGATCTGAAGCCTGAGAAGAAAGAAGATGATTGAAATTTGGTGCATTAGGCTTGTTTCCAAGCACTTAGGGATGAGAAAATTCCTGCAAAGGTTATGTGCATAATATTCGTGCAGTGCTATTGGATTTTGCTACTATATGCTGTGTAGGTGTAATTAAAACATAAAGAAGAAAATGATATAATGTACATATCCAAATACTATTTACGATTAACTATTTTTAATGATGTCTAAAGAGTAGAGAACTAATATTTTCTCATGACAAAATTTATTATCTCGTTTTAAGAGATAGAAATCTTTAGTCTGACCAATTGGGTGTTAGAACCAAAAATTAAGTTTCTTGCTTAACAAGGATATGTACCATGTACCAAAGTCAATGAAACGTTATGGGAACATTATTTCATTGCCTTGACTTGATTTCTATGTGATGATTTTTAGACTGTGGCAAATATACAATAAAACCACAAGTCATAAAACTACTATGAACTATTTCCTTGTGTGATTATGCTCTCTGTTAGAACAAAGAAAAGTATAAACCACTATATATTGTTCTGACTTGTTGATTTATTTTTAACTTTTATTTTTAACTTAAATGTGCATGTCTTTGATCATAGAGGCAGTCAGTTGTTTATTGCTGTTGTGTTTTTAGATGTACTGAATACAAAGGAACAACTGTTGTATTATTAAATGTTATTCTATGGTCACAAACTCTGAGGTGCAGATTTCAGAATCGGTTGTTTATTGAAAAAGATTCCAACAGTTGAATTTTGTCTGAAAACAGACTTGGTTGGAAGTATCTTGTAAATACCAGATATATCACCCACAGTTTTACTTTCCTGACTGAGGAGAACATATCATAAAGTAATATTTGTGATTTTATACATGACTACTGTAAGAGATCAAATTATCCCCTTTCCCTTGGGATTATTAAGTTGTATTTTTTAATTATGGAAAGAATGTATAGTATATAACTTTGTACAATATATTACTGTTGTGATTGTATGGAAAGAAACATAAATGTGTTTTGGTATTTCCTTATGATTGTAATCACAAAACATTTCATCCATTGTAAAGTAAACCTACAGAGGTCATTAATTGATGTTTTCATATGATGTCTAAAAAAGAATTTCTTGAATTGTTTGTGAATATACAAGAAAAGTCTGTATCTTTATTTATTTTTACACATAATTTTAAATTCACAAATCAAAGGAAATTCAAATATTTATCACTTGTTTTATTATGGTCTATAGATTGTTGACTGCAGAAGATTACATTTCAAATATTTAGGAGAAAAGATTTATTTTCATATTTGATCTCAGATGATTGTTGTGTTGATCTCTAGTGAAATACTGCAAACAAAACGAGTACTAACAGCAGCAGTATTACAGCTTCAGTGAAATTGATCAAAGAATTATGCATAATTTTTAATTAAGAAAAGAAATAACACAACATTTATCTCAGAACACTATTTAATTGATAATCTTCACACTTAACGATCAGTTCTGTAAAATGATTTACAGAACTAGAAAATTAGACTTCATTTAATTTTTAAATTTTTTATACAGTATTGAAAATGATCCTGTGAAATCCAAACCACAGTTATTGTATTCCATGTTTATGAAAATCTAAATTGTGTGCAAGACACAGCTGTTTTATCTTGTAGTGTTTGAATTACAGATTGAACCATGGTACCAATTATTTTTCTTATACTCCGTGTTTACAAAATTGACCCTTATAATCTGAACTTTGAATCGATTGCAGGACAAATACATTTTATCTACTTTCATAGCTATTAAATTATTGGTGAACAATGGTACTCAATATTTTCCTGAACATAATATGGTCTAATTGGAAAATATCTTGTTTGTGAAGCTTCATATCTTTATCTGTTTGGAAACGTTATTGTGTTCAAATTTATTTTTATAGAATTGAATTAAGATCCAACCAATTTTGGAAAATGTACTATTTATATCTTCCATTGTAGATGTTATTCATTATTTTCTTTTTCACTTCTTCATTCAGTATGATAAAGCAGTTCGTATCAATGTTTTTGTAAATGTCCTTTGCTGGTGAGCATTCAAAAATTTGTTAATGTATTATGCACAAAAAATGTAGTAGATATATTTGTAAGTTGCACATTAAATAAACATCCATGTTTAATGGTTAAAATTGAAAATTAGAATGGTTTGATTATGTAAATAGGAACTCCATTTCTCCTTCATTTTTATTAGATATGGAAAATTTCCCTGATTTCTTCACAAGTAAGAATGACAAAACAGAAGCAGGTATGCATGTACTCTACCTATAACTAGCCCCTCTCCTTTAGATTGGAGGTATGATAGCTTAATAAAAGGGGGTGAGTTTAAGTAAGCTAATAATTGAGTTCAAAATGATATAAATTACTAACTTAACAGTAATAAAATGAATTGAGAAGATTGTATCTAGAAACCATTAGAAATCTTACTAATCTAACAATAAGAATATGAGAGGTAGGGAATTTACTAGGTGTTGGTTGAATAGTGAGTTTACTATTCGCAAGTCTTTCTAGGGGTTTATGATGTCTTATCAATGGTGATATCTCCCAGGAGGGAGGGGGTAACTGTAAAGCCCAAGTATTAGCTGTATGTCAGGAAGAGATTTTCACCACACGTTTCCGTCTGTCGAGGCGTGGGACCCGGTCAAGTGCTGACTCGAGCCACGCCCAAAGAGAGATATCTTTCGTTGGCCACGCTCGAGCTTTCTATTAAAGCTCCATTGTGGGCAGTGTAGGGGATGTATAGGGCTGTCTTGTGTCCTTCATATGTACACACTGTGATGTCTGAAAGGGAGAGAATTAGTGGAGAGGGTTGCCATTAGTGTGTGGTCATTGACTTTCAGGTTTGTCTAAGATCCAAGTCTAAAGCAACGTGTGTGTGCCTGTGGGGAAGGTCGCCATTTTTTTTTTTCTTCTCCAAATACTCAAAATTTACACCAATTGTGCTGACTTTAAAAAAAAATCTGTACACCCTTAAAGCAATACTGAAATGTTTTAGAAATCCTGGTATGACAGCAAAACTGAAATTTATTCAATTCAGTAAAGCGAAAATGAAAAATATTTTTAAAAGTTTGTTTGGTATTTGTTTATTATTCATTATGGTTATTGCTTGTTCTGCAGAAAGAGCGCACCCCTCCCACGCAAACAATTTGAGATGGGGTTAAAGTTGACTGAGCCATTGCAGCCCAATCAGCAATCCACGCATCGAAAGGACGTTCCAAACGGTCATGAGCCAAACTCGCCGCCTATGTTGTTGTGACGCTGTATAAAAAAGAAGGCCAGTGTCACAAGATTAGAAGTTGTATATCCGACGCCCATGTGCTGCAGCTGGGTTACAATCTCGTTATCTTATCATAACACATCAGCTAATCTATGTTGGGAGCCCTCCAAAGTTTTGGTGCCTGTAGCAACACTTCTGCCTGATTTGAATACACTATTGGTTTTCAAATAAAGAAGAAAAAAAAAAAGTCTAAGAACGGTACTATACTTCATACGTAAAACAATTTGGATATGTAAATAAATTTAATTCATTATTTAAATCCGTTAAAATGTATGTAATTTATCTTCTAAAATAATGTGTGACTTTTGGAAGCTGTCATGATAACGCTGATATGAATTTATACGATAAATGTGTGTAAATATTTCTAAACATCCTACACTAATAAATATTAGCAGAATGTGGTGGCATTGCCAACGCTTTAAACTTTTAAAAGTATTTTCGTATGAGGAGTGTTCATGATAAAACAAACATGTCCATTGAATAAAAATAATTAACTAGCATTGCGGTAATACTAATGACCATCAGCTGCACCTTCTGTCCTGATCTGAGGGTGCAGAAGCAAATATATCCCAAAGAATTTTACTTGTAAATGAGGTTCAGGCAAAATCCAAGATGTCCTCAGCATTATTGCAAGCAATAAGGAACATGTCCGTGTAACCAATAAAGATTCACAATAACTTGACTGCTCATACTGCATGGTTTTTCCGTCTATGAAGTTTTCACACAATAGCATTCTATTTTATTTATTAGATTGGGATTTCAAGGGCACTCTGAGTAGTATTTGCAAGAACTTACAAAACATCAGAAATGTGAAGTGAATCATTATTCCGAAAACAATGAAAGGAAAGAAGATTCATACAGTGAAAGTAGTCCCACATCAACATTTTAGATTTGATAAAGTTCTTGCTTTGATCCCTTTGGAAACATTTTTATTTTATTTTATTTTGTTTTATTATTATTATTATTATTATTATTATTATTTTAATTAACAAATATGGAACAATTTAGCCTCCAGCAGGTGTCACTTGGAAGGGGTATACCATTGGGAAAGATATCTAATGTAACAGGTCTATTGACTGAACACTTAGGAAATAAGTGGAGAGAATTCTTCAGATACTCATGGCCTGGAATGGAATTCCTTTGTTCTTCAAGGACCAATAGCTAAAAGTCAAATGGATAGTCAAGAACTGAAAGATAATTGTGATGGTTGAGGACATGATCATGGCTGGCCAATATAATGTTTTAAAATATTTTTTCTAAATGGGAGTCTACCTCTGCGATTTTAAATTGAGTACTAGTGTTTCATTGTCATTGTATCGTTTATTTACTAACATCTGTAACTTGTTATTTACATTCTTTGAAAACCTCAATTTTCTCTTATATTCATAGTAGTCTGAAGATAGGGATGAATCCTTGTCCTCAAAACGTTCAGAACAAACTTTGAGTATTGAAAAATAAAAACTTTTAACTTTAAAATTATGTGATCCTGAGGTATTTTAAAAAGGTTTTTTAAACTACTGTCAGAAAATCATTTTCTTCACAAATTCTCTGGTCAGGTCGCAACAGTCAGTAGCATAGTGGACGTCGTGCCCCTTCGTCGTGCAAAAACGGTCACTCAACATCCACTTATCAGTCGTTGCGTACATTGAAAGGAATATTATGTGTGGACGACCAGTTGCCGGCAACGGATGCGACGCTGACCGCCCGATTTCGGAGCGGCGGCGTGCCTTGCGCTCGTGGCGCGTTGTCACACGTGGGTGCCACATTCGAGAAATGTTTATAATCAGTTTCCTCAATTGGAGACTTTTCGTGCCCTTCGGTCTTTATCAGTGGTTTTAAGTTTTCACACTTATTTACAATTATCTGAAAGGAATCGAAATATATAAAATATATATGGGAAATGTGCTTGAACAATTTCAATAATTGTGCCCATTCTGTAGCACCACTAGTTTAGAAATAAAATGAAAGATATGACCTGTTCTGAAGTACTAAGAATAACTACGGTAAACTATGCAAACCGTATACAAAATACATTGGGCTTGAATTGAACATTAAAACAAATACATTAAATTTTAAAATAAATAATAAAAAAAAGACTAAATGTTATGGAACATAATTAAAAACCTCCTCCCCACAAAATGAAGGTTTGATTCTTCATAATCCTGATATTTCAAGGACTTTAAATAATCACTTCAACTATAAACATGTCACAGGTAACATTAACGCTAGAAACCCTTTCCTTCTAGAACTCTCAAAATTTAACTGCGTTAAACGAAAATGCGACTTAAGCCTGTTCAAGCGTTTTTTGCATCATCCAAGGAAAAACTCGTGGGGCTAAAACACCACATACTTTATTGCCTTTGGTAATACTTTTTGAACTAGTTATGTAATTTAATTTTTTTTAATAAACTATAAAAATTAATGTATAATCGTTTGAAATTTTAGCTATTCCGTTTTGTTTTGATGAAGCCCTGGGAGAATTTCAAAGTAAAAAAAAGCTCCGTTTTCAATTACATTTCATTGTTTGATAGTATGAAGGATATTTATGCAAATGGTGCATGTCACATTTTTGTTAAAATCCCTTATTTTTCGAAAGTTGCAAAAATTCAAAATTTTCTACATTCTAATTGCTGCCAAGCAAAATTTATAATTGTATTATATCCATCAATTGTCAGCTTTGCAGAAAAAACAATATTTTTCCAAATTTGTCACGTAATGGGGGGGGGGTATTTTGTACATGATCACTCGAGGCTCTGTTTTGTTTCTCGTCTATCTCCGAAACTATTCGTCTGCTTGGAGTCTGGTTTGCACCTTTGAATTTCTCTTAAAGTGTTGTATTTTTACCCAAAATTTCAGATGGAAGCGCCGAAATTAAATTTTTCCAAATTTGTCACGTAATGGGGGGGTATTTTGTACTTGATCACTCGAGGCACCGTTTTGTTTTTCGTCGATCTCCGAAACTATTCGTCTGATTGGAGTCTGGTTTGCACCTTTGAATTTCTCATAAAGTGTTGTCATATTTTAGCATGAAGAAACTCTATTGGTGGTTTATTAATCTTATGTTTCATCCTAAAATTGTTCTAGCATCCGGAGTTTATTCACTTGTATTGTACATGCCATCATCTATCCTAAAAAAGGCTCCATGTAAGCTGAAGTATGTGGAACCTCAAAATAATTTAATATTTTGGTGTAAAAAATTCAAATATTGGGTTTTCTTCTTTGTTGCCTTGACATAATATTCAAGTTTATGTTTGAGTTGTAAAATTTGGCCACCCTAGGGTTCCGTGTTGTATTTATATTTTTTATTGATTTACAGGCATCAATATTGAAGAATATTTTTTAACCTCATAAATTAATTCTGACACTTAAATTATGTGTCTTACACCCTTTCAGCTGCCAAGAACTTATTCAATATTTAATTCTAGATTGTACTGTGCCATCTGTTTAATTTTCAAGTCGTTCTTTATATTTTATTTTGAATTTTAGGAGTGGTTATATTAAATCATTTAACACCTATTCAATTATTTATTGTAAACAAAATACAAGCTCTGTGTAATGTCTGGGTTGTTAAAACTAATAAGTAATCACTCCTGAATCATTCTGCAACCAAGATTCAACTTGCAAATAGTCTAATTGCCTGTTTAACATCAAAATTGAATATTCATTTTTGTAATGGTTCTGTAGGCCTAGTATGGCCATTGGCACCTAGAGAGCAAGGTTGTTGCTCTCAATATCGAAGTGCTCTATTATTCATTTGTCATTCTGTAATTCACGCAGTGCCCACTGCATTGGCTGTGAAAATAATCCGCAGCAGGAATTAGACTGCTGCGGAAGGATACTTACCTGTGATTATTCTATAAATACGAGCGAAAGAATTCGCTCAACGCTCTGACTCTGATTTACCATTGCAGGCCTGTAGTCTTACCACTACGTTTAATTCAGTGAAATGTAT